TTCCCGCTATTTTACTGTTCATCTTCTTGCTTTTCTACTACGTTTCTTAAGTAAACCTTAACAAGACTGTACTTTGCACTCAATGGCGACTTTATGAACTTAATCTGATGATGCTTTTAGTTTCAAAGATTTTCGGAGCATCCTTACTAGGCCGTATGTAATTGCAAACTTCCTCGCACCAGCCAATGCTGACCTCAATGAATTCTATTTAGGTCCATTATTCAATAATGCCGAAGCCATTTAACAGATGGCGGTGGGCCAATTGTTCCCTTGCATTGAAGATCTTCCATTTTTGAACTCTTTGCCATTGAAGCTAATCTGCGATAAAGGTATTCGTACTTGGCCAAAAACTGATCCTAGTTTTCGTAGATGGCATGCACGTATGGTAAATCATGGTCCCACCAAAGCAATTTTTGATCGTGCTAAGATTTTGGACCTATTAGAAATTACCCTTTTTCCCCCAACTTATGACCCAGTGCTTTTTCCAATCGCCTTGAGTTTTTGGTCTTCTGAGTATAACACTNCAATCGCCCTAAGTTTCTGGTTCTCTGAGTATAATACTTTTATCTTTCCTCTTGGCCCGACATCCATTACTCTAAGGGATGTTGGAGCCTTAGTGAATCTTTCGCCTTTGGGCGGCACTATCTTTCTTGGTATTTTGATTTCCAGTGTTGCTCCTCAATTTGACAAACAGGTTGCCGAATCTTATTCAAGCATGCAAGACCTTTATACTGCTTCCAATTTTGAGTTTACTCATGCTGAACGTGTTGCTTTCCTTCAGGTCTGGTTCTGTAAATACATCTTTGTGTCCCTAGCCTGAAACCCTCCTTGAATTATCTGTCCCTGTCGCATGAATTAGCACGTGGCAGACCTTTGAATTTGTGCTCATTCTTTTTGGCCGCCTTTTATAGAGGCATGGCTTCCCTTCAACTCCAATTAAGGAATGGTGCATCTCTTACTGGTAGTGGACTCCCTTGGTTTGTTCAATTGTGGTTGAGAGCTTATTTTCTACAACTTGGTGCTCCACAGTCTCCTCCTCGAACAGTTAGCTGTTATGGTCTATTCATTCAACAAATGAGTCTTGTACATATGTCCAGCAGGGACGTTTTTACATTCTTTTATACTTT